GTGTGGTCTAGGACACAAGTCTTTTGTATACCAGTCCAGCACTCTAGCTGCTATGCTATGTGGCCTCTCCAGGTCATTGACCTATCTGCCATGAATCTATCTAATCCTTTTTAAGCCAACACCCATCACGAATTCCGTCTTGTGACAGTGAATTCTGTGTTAACTATGCACTGTGTACAGAATTATGTTTGACTTTTGAATGTAGCAATAAAACTAGGTGCGTCATGAAGGGCTTACTGTTCAGACTAAAACCTGAAGTAGATATACCATCCCACTGATATTAGGGACACCAGTCCCTAATGTACTGAATTGTGGAATAACTAGCTACCTTTCAAACATCCTTTTGAGAAATCTTTGATTTCAAGGGGTAAGTTATGGAGCAGAGAATACTGCATGTATGAGAAATGGCTCTTTAAATGATGTGCTGGCGCCATCCAGTGGCCTATCTAAGAGAGTGTCTAAGGTTTATAAGAAGTACTTATGAAAAACATGACACTACCAATATCAGACTGCCAATGATATTTCTGCAATCCGTCCAATATCATAGCCCAGAATCCTATAGAAATCTATGGTGGGATCACACATGGAATACTATGTACAATTTGGGTCACTGCACTTAAAAAAGGATATTGCAGAAATGGGGAAAAAGTGTAAAAAAAGGCAGCTGAAATGATCAAGCAACTGGAGCAACTCCCTTGTGAGGCAAGGTTACAATGACTGTGACTGTCATTGTTAGAGAAAAGGCCCGCATGAGGCGAGACACAATAGAGCTGTAAGATTATGCATGTTGTGGAGAAAGGGGCACATTTTTCTCTCTGAGTCATCACATGAAGTTGATTGGTGGGAGAGTCAGGACCGATAAAAGGAAGTCCTTTTTGAGAAAGCACATAGTTCAGCTATGGAATTCATTGCCACAAGATGTAGTGATGGCCACCAATTTAGATGGCTTTAAAAAGGGACTGAACAAACTCATAGAGGAGAAGCCTATCAGTGACTTCTAGTCTGATGGCGATAAGCTAGGATTGGCGGCAGCATGCCTCTGCACATGGCTTGCTGGGGAACATGAACTGGAAGGTGCAATTGCAGGCATGTACTCCTTGTGGGGCTCATCTCTTGTGCAGCTTCCCCCCTCACACCCCCCCCCGTTTTAAAAGGCTAAAGGTAAGGCTTAGGTACTAGCAATAAGAACCTTTACATAAATAGTGATATTGTGGCCTTACCCCTTTTGACACCTCCACCACTGTGGCACCCCACCCCCGCAAGACCTTCTCCCAAAATGTAATTCAACCCTCCAGCTGAAAGAAATCCAACTCCGCTGCCTTAGAGCAGTAAGTTAGTATTACTGCCATCCAGCATATGCGGCAGAGACATGTACCATAGGTTATGTTGAAAAATCACCCTAAGGCAATTTGCTATCATAACTCTTTCATGTACTGAATGCTTTATCTACATCATGCCACGCAAACTCATTTCCCATTTTACTTTACATGGTAAATACCAGTTTTTACCAAGCTGCGACCTCAAATGAAAAATGCACATATAAATATGATGTTGAAAAAGTGTTATCTTGTCCATATTATAAAGCCAGCTATAGAATGTGAGAATTGGTATCACTGCCCAGATGCAGCCCAGTACCATATATGGATGAGATAGACATATCCTAAAAGCACTGAAGGTTGATGAAGCCTATGAGTTACAGAACATAGTAGTTTCAGTTTCCTACAGCACTTTGCATTGACAGTGTTGGGATGTTTCCACAGCCACTTTTCCATATGACAACTTGCAAGGAAACTCCCTACCAAGGGAAATTAAGTTGGCTTCCTGTCTATCTCCTTTCCACTGGCAATTCTATGCAAACAGGACTTCAGCATGTAAGTTGGTCTCTTGGGGTAGGTGTTGCTTTTATTCTTTTGTTGTTTGGTTTATTTGGATTCTTTGTTTAATGTATTGTTCTTATGATTTTCTTAAATCCTAAATGTGCTTTTTAGTTCACATTAGTTGCCTTGAGCACCATTTCTTGGTAGAAAGGTCAATATAAAAATAATTGAACTAGTTGACAATGCTTTCTACTAGTTCCTTCTCTGATTTCATAGTAGTAACAGTAGTGTATTCCTTGGTACACTCAATACTGTACTACAGGAAGATATTGCCTGAAGCAACATTATTGGCCATCAGTTAGAAGCAGGCCTTGTTCGGACACACTACCATACAGCATTATTTATCTGGAACGCTATTATTATAATAATGAATAGTATAACATTATTCATCAATAAGTAAGCAGTAGTCTTACTTTCTCAAATTTATCATTTGTGTCCTATTTCTACCACTGAGTGTAGTTCTGTAAAGTCTTAGAAGCCAGGAGTGCCAAAACATTTCCCTGTGCAAGTTGCAGTAATGTCAGTGTGACTCTTTTACATCAGGATAGACAGATTCTGAAAGCTATTTAATGGATGCTCAACCTCCCAGAGCATCTCTTAATTAAGCAACAGTGAGCAACTTATAGGCTAAAACATCTGAAGAGCCACAGTTCACATTAGTCATCATAGCCAAGGGTGAGAGATGATGCAAGCTGTAAGCCAAAGCAACTAAAAGCCCACAAGTGGTTCATCCCTATTTAACTAGGATGCCATTTTTCTTCCAGCAGCAGGTATGTAACCTGCTGGGTTCAATATTTTTAATTACCTTATCTCTTTGGCTATCATTTTTATCCTGTGGAAGTGCTTAGTTGCCTTTGATAAATATATTATCAGTAGGATTTCTTCATCCTTATAAAAAGAATCAAACACGGACATTTTTGTTCTCTTGACAGAAACAGTTTTATTTAATTCAACAGGAAATTTTGGCTCGCTAAAATTGTTTCTGGTTTCACCATTTGAGATATATTTACTCCAGTCAGAGCAATAAAATAGTGGAACCAGTTGCCTAGAGAGGTCGTGGGCTCTCCCACACTGGAGACATTCAAGGTGAAATTGGACAGCCATCTGAGCGGGCTGGTGTAAATTGGTGTCCTGCAACAGCAGGGGTCTGGACTTCATGGCCATCATGGCCCCTTCCAGCTCTACTATTCTATGATGCTATTAAGATTGAATTAAAACACCTGACAAAAATGTCTAGTATTGATCATCTCATACAAAAAGGAGAAAAACATTTCCCTATCTTGTATTTTCAAACACAAATCCTAACCAGCTTCATCTGAAACATTTTGTATACAATACAGCTGCAGCAGAGCATATATCTGCACAGAAATTAACCAAAGCATAAAATGTGCATTGAGATAATTGTTATGTGATTATTGTAAGCCGTCCAGAGACATGCAGTAATGGATGGGTTAGAAATACCCCAAATAAAGTAATGAAATGACCATATCCATGAACTACAGTTGATAACTTGGTTACAAACAGCACAATCTGATGCATTCCTTTTATGGGAAACAATTAAAAGCTATATAAAAGCCAGTATTGCTTTTATTATTGTCAATATGCACTAGTCCGGGGTAGACAAAAGATGCATCTGTAGATGTTTTGATCAACTTCAGACACCCATGCCAATGGAATGGCCATGAATGTTGGGGGCTGAAGCTCAAAATATCACTAACTCTACTTTTTGTCAGCCCTTTATTTTTTTATTTATTAAAACATTTTTATGCCGCCCCATTCGCCGAAGCCTCAGGGCGGCTTACAACACTAAGTTGAAATAATTACAATATAAATCAAAAATATAAACATTAAATTAAAATACAAAAATTCAGTATAAAATAAGCCGCCCTGGCCAGATAAAATCCAATAATATTAACAGTTAAAATGCCGCTTGAATAAAAAGGTCTTCGCCTGGCGCCAAAAAGCAGATAACGACGGCACCAGGCGGACCTCTCTGGGGAGCGCGTTCCCTTGTTTTATCCTACTACCCAATAAGTGTTTCCAGCAATCAGTATATTGGTCCCAGTTCTCAATCTTGTATGTAATCAACAGCACTGTATAATTTCAGTATAAAATATAATAGGAGCAGAATGTGTTCCAATATATACTCTTAAGGAGTTATTGGATCCAGCTGAAGCTTAGCAGAAGAGAAAAGCAAGATGTCCCACAGGTTCCATCTGTGACAGATATAGATGGGAAAGAGCCGGGTCTGACACCCTGGACAGTCGCGGTTGAGCCATCGTTGTAGAGAATAGTCAGAGGAGCGAATGGTTGAGCTGGTATAAGGCTGCTCCAATAGCTTTGACCATGACTCTGATGGCGATACTCAACTCACTTTGAAGGTACTCCAGTGACCCCTGGGTTAGGGATGTGGGGGGAGGGCAAGACTGAGCTACGTTGTTCCCCCTCGCCTGTCCCCGTCACGGTGGAGACAGGACTCGCTTTGCGGGGTGGTGCTGAGAAAGATCTGACAAAGTCGCTACTACTGTGACGGGCATCATCATCTTTGATCAGTTTTGGAAGCATCTGTGACGTTTGAAGACCTGCTCGACCAGAAAACGAGAGAAATACGAACACGGCGCACGGCCTTTAAGAAACTATCGTCAACCTCGCTCTGAGAGTAAGGACACTGCCTGCACCACCCCACTTTTCCAGCGGGGGTGACCGACGTGCAGGAAATGCAAGGAAGCGATCCTGAAGGTAGCGAAGAGCCCACCTGGCGATTCCGCTGTTCCTTCAGGAAAGCGCTGGCAGGTGTTCGGCTCGACCTACGACCTACCCCACCCGGCGTATTTCTCTCCAATATCTTCCTTCTTGACCGACTCAACCCAAACAAGGAGAACCCATCAAGATAAGAGCAAGATAAGGGTCGGGCTGGCCTTGGCTCCTGCTTTACCTCCGCCACACGTAAACATGCACACATACAAACACTCCGCCTTCGCCACTCAGCGCTACCGGGAAAGTTACACAGTCTGTTCACAAATAGACTGCAAGCTTTTATAGCGCCCTTTCCCGGCGGCCTCCGCGCCGCAGCCGTGGATTGGCTGCTGGGACGCGAGGGGCGGCGACGCGCACGTCGCGTTTTGTATGAGAACGTGAACGCGCTTTGCTCTGAACCCGCCCCGCCGGTTTCCGTTCCTTAGCCGCTGCCGGAGTTTGGGCCCGTAGAAGCATAAGGAAGCAGCGCCGGGGAGACGCAGGGAGCCCCTCAGGTAGCGCGCGGGAAGGGCCGCGGAGCTTTCCCCGTGTGGCGAGGGTGCGCCGGGGTGCGGGGAAGGAGAGACCCGGGAGCCCAGCAGGGCAGACCTTGGCGCTGTGCGGCCGCTCCCTGTGCGGCCTGCCCCGCCCGCCCGCGGCCGCTGAGGGAGCGGGAATCTCCGCCGCTCTTCCTGGTGAGGCGCTTCGAATAGGAAGTCCAGTCCCATCTCCGCTCCTCCCGCGCCTGTACATCCACACGCGCACATTTGGGAGAAGGGCTTGTAAGTCTAGGCAGAGGTAGGGGGAGCCGAGTCGGTGCTGTGTGAGTGACGGGCCCCGACAAGGGCTTTATTTTCCTCTCGTCTCCATCCTGTGCGAGAGGGCTCTGTCCCCGCCTTCCCCCTTTGGATAGAGTTCAGGAGCTGTTTCTTTCAGGAGGAAACAGGGTCTTCAGGTGGGCCTGAAGCGTCTTACGGATTGTCTTTCGTGGTAGACTTTTTTCGTCTTCAAATATGCTTCCTGCCCCTTTTATTCGGGAGAGAATGGATGGTGGTTCCACCTCTTTTGTTGACCTCTCCTCCCCATTTCCTTTTTTTCCTTCTTTTCTTTGTTGAAGACAACATAAGTTTTAAAATCATATGAAAGTGTATAAATGCTAGCTCCTAGATTCCACATAAGTCCTAGAGCTGCAAAGGTGTGTATCATCCATCCTAAAACCCTATAGGACTTTTTCCGTTTTGGTTTATTTCTTGTATTTCAGGTAAATGGGCCCTTTTTAGGGCCCTAGAAAGTGTGTACATATTCTGTGCAATCTCTGTAAGTAATATTTAAGTTACAGGCCTATGAAAATGGAGAAAAGGCAATCAGTGGGTGAGTGAGTGATGTAATGTTCTAAGAAGCCACGTTTCTACAACTTGTGGACTAAAAATCTCCACTGGACAGCTTCATGTATGCCATACCTAAAGGGATCCATGTTGAAGGGAGGTTGTACTAAGTAATACATTAAAGCCATGTAGAAAACTACTGATTAAGACTTCATTTCAGTATTTTTTACTTTAAAGAGAAAATATTTACCTAGAAATTAGTTCCAATCCTATGTTTCTATGAAATAAGCTAAAAATGTGAGGAGGTTGATTATGCTGATGTAAAGCGGTTGTCACTGCAAGCTTCTGCAAGGTAACTGAGATTTAAAAATGGCTCCTTTCTCTAATGTATGTAATGTAATGACCTCAGGCTTGTGAGATCTACTTTGGTTTTTACTAAAACTAGATAGAGCTGGTGATTCTGCTCAGGCTATTGTTTCACTTTTGATCAGTGAGATAAAATGGAATGGGCCATCGTGATTGTTCCTGGTCACCCTCCTTGACATTGCAAAGCCCAGTCAGCTCTCATATGTTCTAGGTTACAGAAGGCAGTGAAACAGACTAGATGACAGCTAAAGTGCAGGTGGCAAAGGTATGGTTTTGAAGTCAACCAAACACAAAAAACACATAATCATGCCTACTGTATGGGTGGTGCGAGCAGTAAAAAAAGGGCTTGTTTTGCTGCTTACATTATATCCTTAAGTAGCCATCTGGTGGTGCTTTTTAAGGAAGTTTAATGCTGCTAGCATTGGCTTCAGAAAACAGAGCTCTAGCCCCTTTGGAAACCTGTTCTGATTCTTTGTAAGGCACTTTGAGAGTAAAATCACTGTCTTCACAACGGTGTTGCTACATTTAAAATGGTGATGTCCAAGACTACATCTTACCAAATACTATAGGAACCCTTTCTATTTTTGTGTTCTAAGGGTGTAGGCAAGATGTCTGCACATGCACACTCAACCACATGCCCTCTTGATCCTTGTCTTTCTTACCTGATTAAAAGTACCAAAGTAGGTTTAACTGAGTACATACTGAATATGGTAAATGCATTCTCAAGAGAAGAGGTGCTACCTACTGCCTTGAAAGAGGTACTGTAGCAACCACTCAGGTTGGTTCACTCTGGACCATACTGTAGCTGACAACTACCTAGTCACAAGTATCCCCTTTGGTAGAAGGTTCTTGAGAGAGTTGTAGTGCAATAGTTGCAAAGTCCAAATTTTGTTGGACTGTGCCAACTATATTGACCCATTCTGTCTGGGTTCAGGCCTAGTTTTTATGCTGAACCAGTCTTGGTCATTCCAGTGGATGACCTTTACTGGAAAAAGAATGGGGGTATGCTACCCTGTTGCTCTTTTAGACCATTGGCATAATCGGCAGTGGTATCCATTAGTGCAAAAATTCCCAACTTGGGATGCCTGAACCCCCATACGGTGCAAAATGACATTTCGGGGGTTTGACAAAGAAGAAGAAAGGCTGCATTGTGATTTGCCAAAATTGACAAATTGTGACTTTTTCACCAAAAAATTATCCCAATAATAAAATTGTTATTTTGTTTGCTTTTGGATTCGTTTCCCTTTTGTCATTCAAGACAAAATCTAGGAATTACCTGAATCCACAAGCAGACTTGCGGATTGCAATAAGTGAAAAAGTTCCACATTTTGACAAAATTGTGAATGAGAAGACGAAACAAAGAAGTCACTGAATTTTATGTTCAGTTGGAACTGGAATTGATTGGAATTGGAATCGTTTGGAATTGAATTTACTGTTTACAATATTTCTAACTGTTCATTTATATTTTAATTTTATGCAGTAAGTTACTTTTGAGTTCCTTTTTGAGTACACAGTACTGTATGTAGTTCAATTTGTGGTTCAAAAATTAGAAATTTGACTTCTGTATCTTCAAATGTGATATTACTTTTGTGGGGTGGGGTGAGCATAAACATTTTCTAGAGGTGCAGGGCATAGAAAAAGTTGGGAACCACGGTATTAGTGATACCAACAGGGCTGATCTCAGTAGTTCCAAGGGACTGTTCACTAGTCCCCTGGCTTTGGGTACTGCAGGATGCTATTCCCGCCCCCCATGCTGTTTAATATTTATATGCAGTTGTCAAGTGCCACTGTAGAGCAAATCAGTACAGTGCCATCAGTACAGTGATGACACCCTGCTCTTTCTCTGTAAAGTCTGAAATAAGGGAGGATGTGTAAGCCTTGAATTGGTGCCTGGATGCATTGGTGGACTGGATGAGGGACAACAAACTGAATCTGACATGTGGCAAGACAAGGCATCTGTGGTTGCATGGTTCCTATGTCTGGGAACTGGGTCAATTGCATTCTTTATATGGGATTACACTCCCTCTAAAGAAACAGGTGCATATTCTGACAGTTTATTGATCCAGCACTGTCACTAGAGACAGGTGTCTTGGGTGAGTAGGAATGCCTTTGAACCAGCTCCAATGGATGAGACAGTTACGGCCATTCCTAGATAGGATGGCTTGATCACAGTCATCCATGCATTGGTAACCTAAAAATTTGATTATTGCAATTTATATGTAGGGCTGCCCTTAAATATTGGTCTGGAAGTAGCGCATAATGTCACAACTAGATTGATAATGAGAACAGCTTATGAAGCCAGCACATTGTAGCTATGTTGAGGGAGCTGTGTGTTGCCTGGCCATGTTTAAAGTTGTGATACTTGTTAATAAGCCTAAACAACTTGACAGCAGGACATTTAAGACTGTTTGGGCCACTACTTGTTTGATGGGCTCATTAGCAGTACCTTCCCAGTGGTACCCATGTTTTTGGAGAACCAGAAATAAGGCCTTTTTAATTATACTCCCTATTGTCTGGAATTCTGCCACTACAGATTGAGTGGGTGAAAACCCTTCTAGACTTTCAGACCAATGGAAAATATACCTCTTCCTACAGGCATCCCCAAAAATCCTGCTCTTATGCAAGGTAATCATGTCCTCTGTATAAATAATAAAGATTGCTAAATAAACTCCAAGATCCAGTAATCCACTAGGTATAAAATAGTGGGATGGGGGAGCAATCACATCAGTTACAATCAGAGCCAGTGTGGTGTAGTGGTTAAGAGCACACAGGTCTGGGACTCAGACAATCTGGGTTCTGGTACTCAAGCTTTGAAGCCAGCTGGGTGACTTTGGGCCAGTCACAGACTTCTCACTCCAACCTATGTCACAGGATTGTTGTTGTGGGGATAAGATTGAGAGCAACAGGTAGAGAATTATGTAAGCCACTTTGAGTTACTCAACACAGAAAAAGTTGAACTGATAAATATTAAGTATTGGTAATCAAAACAATAATTGACAAAGACCTGCCCCTTGCCCAGCAGAAGCCAATCTTGAGCATCTTCTTCCAACCAATGAACCAATCAGTTAAACCAAGAGGAACTTTTCTTGCCTTTATTATCATGATTTGATTCCCTTGAATTGAGTACAGCAGGCTACCTGCCTTCAAAAAAAATCCTGAAAAATAGCCAATAAGCCAATTTAATTGCCTTTACTGAAACTTTTTTTGCCCAAGGATTGTCCTTATGCTCACTTTATATACAGTAGGAGTCCCATAACCAGGGAGGATGGGTTCTAAGCCCCACCGGCAGATGCCTGAAGCCACGAATAACAGTGAATACTATTGGAGTATTGCAGCCTGTTGCACTATGGCAGGCAAGAGGGAACAGACAGCTGTGCTCTTCCCAGCTGCTGCCATGGCCAGCCCAAAATTGTGCACCACCACCCCCAGGACTGAGAATGCAGCTGTGTATGAGGCTTGTGACACAGGATGAGCTTCCTCAGAGCAGGCCACACTTCAGTGCCCTGGGTCTTGTTTTTGAACTGCAGTTGAGTAAACCATGGCACTTGAAACAGTGGGTATGGGCATTTTACCGTACATTCATATCTTGTTTAAATATATCCATTGGAATTTTTACTGTCCATGTGATGTACCTTGTTAACTTCTTGAACTCATTGCCCTGTATTTGACTTTTGGGTATGTAATTTTTCACCCAACTTGCACTGAATTGTTTTTATCTTGAGTCCATTGGTATTCCAAATGATATGTAACTTCACAAATTAGGGTGGTTCATTGAAATCTCTCTTAGAATGGAAAACAATTGTGGTGCATTCTCTGGACATTCA